GTGCTCATTATAATACCTTCCTGAAATTCCAAATTATATTTCTGAAAGAACAGTTTGTTCCAATCTAGTAGAAAGAGAGGGGAAAGGGAGAGGAAAAGGAATAATTGTAAGAGAGCAAAAAAGAGAGAAGGAGGATTCCTGAAAGAGAAACAACTGTTAGGTGTTGCCCTGTCTAAGACTTGGTCCAGCACAATCCATCATCGGCATCTATTTACTCTCCAAAGATGTCTGAAAACAAACTTCATTCTTGCTCTATATATTATTAAGGTGACCAGACATCCCGATTTTCGTGGGACAGTCACGCTTTTGCACAATTTGTCCCGTGTCCTGGAGCGTTCTTAAAAAGTCCCGATTTTTGTGACCGGACCCGGAAGTAAGCCTGCCCCGCCCCCAGCCCTGTATACCCATCCCAGCCGGCCGGTATTTTGTCCCTTCTGTCTCCCCGTTGTTCAGAAAAGCAACTCTGGGAAGGTCCTTTGCTAGCAGGCAGGTTCTAGGACGCCTGCCACCACCAAAAGCCGTCCCCGGAGTTGCTTTTCTGAGCAACGGGGAGACAGAAGGGACAAAATACCGGCCGGCTGGGACAGGTATACAGGGCTGGGGGCGGGGCAGGCTTACTTCCGGGTCCGGTCACAAAAATCGGGACTTTTTAAGAACGCTCCAGGACACGGGACAAATTGTGCAAAAGCGTGACTGTCCCACGAAAATCGGGATGTCTGGTCACCTTAATCTAAGGGCAGGTATTCTGCATGAGGTTTCCTTTCTTCTTCTTCACTCTCTCTCTTTCTCTCTCTCTCTTCCCCTTCGCTTCTGTTCCTTCCTCCTTCCATCCTTTCTCCTTCCCTCCTTCCTATTTCTTCCTTCCTTCTGCCTATCTACCTTCACCTTTGTCTTTCTGCTCTTTCTCTCTCTCTCTTCCCCTTCGCTTCTGTTCCTTCCTCCTTCCATCCTTTCTCCTTCCCTCCTTCCTATTTCTTCCTTCCTTCTGCCTATCTACCTTCACCTTTGTCTTTCTGCTCTTTCCCTGTCTTCCTCTTTCCTCCCTCCCTTCTTTCCTTTCTAGTTCCATCTTTTCTTCTTTTCTCTCTCCCTCCCTTTTTCTTTCTTCCTTCCTTC